TGATGGAGTTGATTTTGACCTCCAGACCCCTAAAAATAAAAACTCTATGGGCCCAAATCAACCCAGCTTCTCAAATTAGGTAATAGAAATTGAATGGAAAAAGAGAAATTTGCAAAAAAAGAAACATGACTCAAAATACAGCATTCACTAACATCCCATCTTAAACAAGTTTCAACACACACTCACACTCTAATAAGGGACATTAAAAGAAAATGTGAGAAAATCAGTATCCTGAAAGCGTTATATTTTTCTACTTTTTAAATTTTAATACTAGGGTTGCTCTCCTTTTTAAGGAACATACAGAAATGCAATATGTGCTTTGAGGAGGGACCGACTTCCTGACCTGGATTTTATTTATCAGGTTATGTCAAATAAATGGTGAAAGAAATAGTGTGCAACACAGTGGGAAAGGCAAGCAATTCTAGGGTTTGGTACCTTATCCATTGTCAGCACAATTCAGTTCTTTAACTTGGGATAAAGGCACCCTCCTATGGTTCTTGAAAACCACAAACTAAATGGTAAAAATAGAAAGACAGTCAAATATAATCACAAATAGGGCATTTCATACTAATTTTTTATATTCAAATATTATTGGGAGAAAAAAGTGTACTGATTTTAAATCTTCACTTTTTCTTAACAGGTATGTTTCATTACACTTGAAAGTTCTGTGTATTTTCTTTTATTTTGTAAATATTTTTACTGAGGTATAACTGACATACATTATATTAGTTTCAGGTGTACAACTTGATTCACTATTTGTACATGTTGTGAAATGATCCCCACACAGTAAGTCTAGTTAACATCTGTCACCGCACACAAATAATTTTTTTTTCTTGTGATGAGAACCTTTAAGCTCTACTCTCTTAGCAGCTTTCAAATATGCACTACAGCATTATTAACTATAGTCGCTACGCTGTACATTTTGCACATTTTTTAAAAGTAAAATCTAGCTATCATCTTTTTACTTAAATTGATATTTATAAAATGTTCAGCTGAGGGTAAATGGGTAAGGACTGGACTAGTCCATAACTTTTCTGTTATACATCTATATTTGAGACTCAAAAAGAAAAAAAGAAAAACTACCTACATGAGCTCATTAAGAGAATCAGAGGCACTTACCACATATACTTTATAACCAGTTCCTGTAACAAGTACTTTACAAATGTCTCCATGTTTTTCAGACTCAATTATAGATTCTAACTATGCTACACATTTTTTTAAAACTGACATTTCTCAGCTATCCAAGTAAAGTTTAAGGAAAAGTTTTATTTTTCCCTGCTTTAAGTCTCCTATAATAAATTTAACTTCTTGTGTTCATGAGATTTTTAAAAATCTACTACATTTAAAGGGTTTAGTAACTAAAGCATTTAAATAGCCATGTCTAATAGCAATCCTTATATACGTATAGATATTTTATAATTTTCAAAGCCCTTTTATGTGCATTAATCTAATAATGTGATTCTCACAACAGCCCCGTAAGGTATTATCCCTATTTTAACAGATAAGAAACTCAGATGAGTTCAGAAAATGTAGGTAATTTCCCCAAGGTCACAGAGCTTGTACACGGCAGAGCAGTTACCTGTACCCAGGGAGAATAAAGACTCATCAAGAATACTCTGACCAGAAATGCTCAATAATGAAAAATGGAAATAAACAGGGTAGAGAAAAGGGTAGGACCCAGTAATAATGAAGCTAAAGAAACTGTGTGATGGATCATGAGGCGTTAGGGACTCATCTGCTAATAATGAAAGAGACAATTAATTAGACCATTACAAGTAAGAGTACTGTTGCTATTAACAATGATGATGGCTAACATGCATCAATCACATCCTTACTGTGTGTCAGGCCCACACTTTACATGCATTCTCAAAGTTCCTGTAAGGTAAGCATTATTCCTGCTTCCCAGCTGAGAAACTCAGGCTTGGAGAGGTTAAGTATGTTGCCCAAGGTCACAAAATTCTTAAGTCCCGATGAGGGGATTCAAATCCAGGACACCAGAGCTCTGGCTTAACTCAAGCATTATGATATTAAAAAACCAAAAAAAAACAATAATTCTCAACTGAGACCACTCTTGGGCCACAAACCTCAAGCCATGAAAAAATGTGCAGGGTGACCCAGTGCCCAGCATGGTGCTTCTCACACATAACGACCACCAATGTCTGTTAATATGACATGTATTCCACGCGTCCCACAGCTAAACCCTGCTATTGGAAACAGCTTGGCCATTAAAAACTCCCAGAGAGACAGTGCTTTGGGGGTGGCAGGTGACCATGCTTGCGGGGGTGGGGAGGGAGTGGCATTTACCAAACATCTTCTAAGGACCTGAAGTATGATCTAAAGCCAAAGATCTGATAGGTGAAGTAAGGGAGGTTGCGCTCTAACATCACAAGACAAAAAAGATCCTACACAGCTGCTTAAGCTCAAGCTTTGTAACCTGGATTGTGGGAGAAAACGTCCTGAGAGTTTCAAGTGCTTCTCTTCATTCTGAGTAATTGAGAGAGGTTCAAGAAGATACAACAGGTTCCTGAGTCAATCAAGGCTAGACACAGTACTGATAAAAGAAAATTCATCAAAAATTCAAAGAGAAGTCTTATGTCCTCCCTCTCCCTTTTAAACTGGGTTCTGCTTATTAGAAAGTTCAGTTTACTGGGTTTCAAAACTCAGGGGTGGGGGCTTCCCTGGTGGCGCAGTGGTTGAGAGTCCGCCTGCCGATGCAGGGGACACGGGTTCGTGCCCCGGTCCGGGAAGATCCCACGTGCGGCGGACCGGCTGGGCCCGTGAGCCATGGCCACTGAGCCTGCGCGTCCGGAGCCTGTGCTCCGCAACGGGAGAGGCCCCAACAGTGAGAGACCCGCGTACCGCAAAAACAAACAAACAAAAAAACTGAAGGGACCTGTCAAATATGTGCAATAAAAGCTTAAATAAATACATAAGGCATAAAAAAAAAATACTCAGGGGTGGGAGAGGAGAATGGAGCGCATCAGAATAATTCCTAAACACGGTGACTTTCTCTGAGTTCCTAGAACACTCCAAGCTCTTTCCTACTTTGGAATCTTCACACACACTGTTCCCTCTGCCTAGAACCCTCTTCTTTATCGTAACAGAGTCCTCTTTCCAGACAGGTCTTCTGTGACCATCTTACCAAAGCAGACTGCCCCCTCCCCCATTAACTTCTAACCCAGCTTGTTACCTTCATAACACTTTTCTCAATTAGCATTTTTTCTTATTTATCTGCATATTGTCTTCCCTCCCCAATCCTATCAGGAGGGTGAGCTCCATCAGGAAGGAGACCATCTGACTCACTCTCTTCTATATACCCAGCACTAGGGCACTATGCCTGGCACTAGGCAGATGCTCAATAAACATTTTTGAACAAAAATTAATTTCTACAGCTTTTTCGAACTATTAGCCTCCCTACTCATCCCCTACCCCCCACCCCAAAAAAACCTTGCATTTTTATAAGCTTTGTAAGTCACCTGTTTTGGATATGCAATATAATCTTAAATTGTCATTTTGCTGTTTCATTTCAGCACCACCACCACCAACGAGACTGTAGAGCTGGAAGATCAGGAAACCCATCCTGTACTTCATCTGTATATTGTACAACACAGTGGCATCCAGTAACTAATTTAATTTGAATTAATTATCTGAGGGCCTGCACAGAAAGTGTCCTCTGAGCTCTGACATCATCCTGTATATATCTATCACTGTTCCTTACGTATATCCCATGGGGAGGGGGACAGGGATATAAAATTGAATAAAATCCCGCCTCTGCTTCATGAATCACCCTCTCATAAACCCGAAATACTCAACAAACGTCAAACCTAACCAGACAGACAGTTAAGATAGACCTCGGAGCCCTTTAGGAAGATTTTAATCAAAGAGTAACCATGGTCACACGGACCACGAAGGGTACCCCAACTGACGCTGCTAATAATTTAACGCAAGCAAGTCTGCGAAAGTTATCAAGAGATTTCTGACATTCCCTGTTTTCAAAGATAACATTACTACTCAAAATTCCCCAGTAAACTCAAGGAAACGGTCCCTCACGGGCTGGGGCCTGGTATTTTCACAACAGCCCCTGTCAAGAGCCACATAGAGCTAATACGCATTCCCACTGGGGAAAGTCATTAATTAGGAGGGCTGCTTCAGATGTGCAGTCCCCGCAGAGAACCACTCGGACCCCTGCCTTTCGATTTCCCGGATCTCTGCATTTCAACCGAGCTCCCTCTGTTTTATTTATTTATTTATTTGGTCTGCATGCCAGGCTAACACAGAAACCCCCGGCCTCTCCCAGGCCAAGGGCTGTCTCATCACCTTACAGGTGGCACGGGCCTGAACACCCCCGCCCCACCCGCCCAGCGAGCAGAAACCTGCAGAAGTTTGGAAACCGAGGGTCCAGGAGGACCGCGGAGCCCAGAGGTCAGGCGGCGGCCGGGCCCGGCGGCGCCCGCAGGGAACCAAGATGGCCCTGAGCGGGCCCCACTGCGGCGGCGGCGGGGAGCCGGGCCGGGGCGCCGGGGCGCGGGGCCGAGGGGCGCAGGGCCGAGGGGCGCGGGGCCGGGACGACGACGACGACGCCGCCCTGGGCGGCCGGGACCCGCGGGCCAGGCCCCGGCCGCCTCCCGCCGCCGCACCCTGGCCGCGCGTTCCCGGAAAGGCGGGCGGGGCGCGCCAGGTAAGCGGCGGTGGCGGCGGCGGGGGTGGCCGCGGGGGCGGGCCCGGGCCAGGTGGGCCCCCGCGGGCGGTCGGGACCCCGCCGGGCCGAGCGCGGGCGGAGGCCGCGGCCCGGGCCTGCGCGGCCCGCCGCCCGGAGCCAGGCCGAGCCCGGGGCGGCCGGCTCCGGGCGCGAAGCGGGGAGGGAGGGAGGCGGACCGGCGCGGGTGGCTCGGTGGCTTCCTCAGCCGGGTCCGGGGGCGTCCGTGGCCGCGGGGACAGGCCGCGACGACTCCGACGGCCGCGCCCGGGGGCCGGGGTCTCGGCGCCGCCGCCTTCCTTACCCTGCATGCTGCTGACGGCCGGGTGGCCGGGCGCCGGGGACCCCACGGGGCCCGGGGTGCCGCTGCCGCTGCCGCCCCCGGAGCCGCCGCCGCCGCTCGGGCTCGGAGCCGCCATTGTTGGGAGTGAGGAGCCGAGCGGCGCCGCGGCGGCTGCAATGCAGCAAGCTCGGCCTCTCGCACGGCCGAGGGGCGTGGCCAGAGCCCGCCCTGGGCCCGCCCCCCGGCACGCCCCCTCCCGCCCCCGCCCGCGCCTGACGCGGAGCCGCACCAGATGCTGAGCGGCTGAGCGGCAGAACTGCCCAGGTCGCTGGTGCGGGACCCCAGAGGCCGGCAGAAGTCCTGCACCGGGGCTGCGGGCCCGCCGCGGGGCCTAGAGCGGTTTGCGGAGTGAGGAGTGTGTGCATTTGGGGTGTGAAAGGGTACACAGCTTCTATCATTCCTACAGAGGTCTGTGACCCCAAAAGTTTAAGAAGCCCCTTGTTGGAATCTCAGAACCCAAAACCAGAATTGTAAAACTGAAAGGGATCGCAGAGCTCGTGCTTCTTGTCCAGTCTCTGACACGGCACTTCCAGAGGGGACTTGGCTCTACCTGTGGTTCCATCTGGAGCTCCCGCTAAGCCTTGCCTAACACCCTAACCCTCTACACTGCCCTGGGAGATCCTAAGGAATGCTACTGAAAGTACCGTCAGTGGACCCATCCCAAGAAGACTGAATCAGAATTTACATTTTAATAATATCCCCAGGTAATTTGTATGCACATTAAATTTGAAAAACAGTATCTTAAGCACGCAAGCTCCCTGGCCTCCCAAAATATATTATCTGTATCACCGACTTCCCCTAAATACACACTGGATTCTCTCCCCCACCTCCTCTACACCTTATAAGAGCAGCCATATAAATTATATAATTTAAATATGAATTATATAAGATGGCAACTTCACAGAACAAAATCAAGTTTCTTCCAGTGCTTGGCACAGAGACTGGTTTTAGGAAGGCAGCAGCTAAAAGAAAAAGAAAAAAAAAAGTCCTCTGTGAGGCTGGGGGTTTGTGGACCAACAGAAATGTAGTTGGAACAGTAAGGTATGGATCTCTGGACAGAGGTATGTCTCGTCTCTATATAGAATGACCAACTATACAATATGCCAAGTAGTGTGAACCATGGAGCTGGATGTTTCCTGCCCTTTGGAAGCACTGAGCCATCTATACCAGGACATCCTTCCACACAGACCTTATCTGTGCTGGAACTTCCTCGGGGCACCTTGGTAATGTCCCCTCCATCAACAGAAGCCTTGCCTGCTTGCTCTGAACTCAGCCTCAGCCATCATCTTGACTGCTCACAGGGGCTAGAGTTAGGGCTTAGGGAAAGTAAACTGGGAGGCAGTGAAGGCAAACTGAACGTGAGAGCAGGTAGGTGTGCTTAAAAGTGGAGAGCCTCGCATTCCAGCCCGCCAGAACTCTCCTCTGAGGGCCTGGCTGGAAGAGTGACATCTCCATTTCCAGGTCATCATTAGAAACACTGCCAAATTCCCATCTGGGAATCAGTATCCCAGATTGCTCTTCTTGGCCCTGGGGAACCATAAAAATGGGGTCCCCAGAAAGGAAATATAATCAGAACCTGGAAGGAAAGTGTCCCATCCAGGCTGTTCAGCCCAGAGTACAGGCTAAATACTCAATCTGCATCTTTGGCATGGTGCTGATGGGAAGAGTAGCAACAAATGACAGAGAAAAGGAGGAGCTGAGGCTCCCTAAATGCTCTTCTTTGGAGGTACAGATTGGAAGACAGCTTTCTTTTCTTTGAGGTTTATATTTTAGTGCCTGGAGGGGTCAGTATCAAAAATCAAATGAAATTCTTCTCTCAAAACATCAACACAACTTGCCAACAATTAACAAAGATTGATGCAAAAATATAGGGACCCCACCACCACCACCCCCAGGCAATAGTTTTGCACTTCCCTTGGCTTGACCACTTTAACATCCTGGGAAAAGGCATCAACAGCCTCATAGTTTTTTGGCAAACACACCAAATGTCATCATCAGACTCCAGATGCAGGATTCCCAGACACCAAATAGTTCTGAGAAATTTTCTGACACTTTATTCCAGTACCTGCCAGTAGATTTCACAACCAGTTCCTGCTGACTAAATGTCACTGTTGTGTATGTCATCTCATTTCTCACTTGCAGTTCCTTGGGTTTTGGAGTGGTACCAAGAAATGACTTGGAAGACTTCTAGTCTCCCCACCTGCATCAGTACCATAAGTATCCCTCCCCCATTTTTTGATGTGGACAATTGATATACTTACAGTCTTATGTAAAGTGCTACTAATTCCTTTTTCCAATTATACATATTTCTTTTTTTCTTTTTTTTTTGGCGTTATGTGGGCCTCTCACTGTTGTGGCCTCTCCCGTTGGGGAGCACAGGCTTCGGACGCGCAGGCTCAGCGGCCATGGCTCACAGGCCTAGCCGCTCTGCGGCATGTGGGATCTTCCCGGACCGGGGCACGAACCCGTGTCCCCTGCATCGGCAGGCGGACTCTCAACCACTGCGCCACCGGGGAAGCCCTATACATATTTCTTTAATAGAAACTTATTATTTAATAGAAATCCTAGAGGCAATACTAGAGATTAGTCAACTATTTAGTAGGAAAAAGTTTTCCAATATTATTTTAGATTATATAGGTTACATTTAAGATTGTTCAAGTAAGAAAAACATTGACCTGATACAGTTAAGTGAACTTGAATGAGGAAAATATATGTAACAAATAAACCTAAAGGAAAACATTCCAACTAGGAAATTCATTCAGGAAAGTTGAATTAAAAGAGTAAATATATTGTGGAATCTAAAATATGAGACAAATGAATTTATTTACAAGATAGAAACAGACTCACAGACATAGGAAAGAAACTTATGGTTACCAAAGGAGAAAAGGGGTGGGGGAGGTATAAATTAGGAGTTTGGGATTAGCAGATACAAATGACTGTATATAAAATAGATAAACAACAAGGTCCTACTGTACAGCACAGGGAAATGTATTCAATATCCTGTAATAAATGATAATGGAAAAGAATATGAAAAAGAATATATATATATGTATATATATCTGAATCATGTTGCTGCACGCCAGAAACTAACACAACATTGTAAATCAACTATACTTCAATGAAAAAGAAATTTTTAATTAAAAAAGTACTTTAAGGGCTTCCCTGGTGCTGCAGTGGTTGAGAGTCCGCCTGCTGATGCAGGGGACACGGGTTCGTGCCCCGGTCCGGGAAGATCCCACATGCCGCGGAGCAGCTGGCCCCGTGAGCCATGGCCGCTGAGCCTGTGTGTCCGGAGCCTGTGCTCCGCAACGGGAGAGGCCACAACAGTGAGAGGCCCGCGTACCGCAAAAAAAAAAAAAAAAGTACTTTAAGATAAAATGGGACAAAAAGAGTCTAAAGAAAGCAGAAATAAAGGATGCTTTCAGACAAAAAAGAAGAGTAATATGTAACTAATTAGTTTTTTGTTTAATAATGCCTAATGCTGCACTTGTAATAAAACGGACAGTATACTTGGATTGCTGTTAGTATTGTTAACTAGTGCATAAGAACCAGGGATAAGAACCATCAGGGACTCCCCCGGTGGCGCAGTGTTTAACAATCCGCCTGCCAATGCAGGGGACGCCGGTTGGAGCCCTGGTCTGGGAAGATCCCACATGCCGCGGAGCAACTAAGCCCGTGCGCCTCAGCTACCGAGCCTGCGCTCTAGAGCCCAAGAGCCACAACTACTGAGCACGCATACCACAACTACTGAAGCCTGCACGACTAGAGCCTGTACTCCACAACAAGAGAAGCCACCGCAATGAGAAGCCCGCGCACCACAGCGAAGAGTAGCCCCCACTTGCCACTAGAGAAAGCCTGCACGCAGCAACGAAGACCCAACACAGCCAAAAATAAATAAATTAATTAATTAATTTTTTAAAAAAACCATCAACTAGGTCTGAGTTTGGGCAAAAACAAGAAAGGATCTTGGTTTGTTCAAACTGATGAAGCTATGAGCTTTTTACTTTTTCTTATGCTCACATTTTTCTTATATATTTGTGTTTTATGGTTTCTTATAGACTGAATTGTGTCTCTCCTGCAAAAAAAATTTGTATGTTGAGGTCCTAACCCACAGTACCTCAGAATGTGACTGTATTTGGAGATAAGGCTTTAAAGAGGTAATTAAGGTAAAAGGAGGTCACATTGGGCCCTAATCCAATATGACTGGTGTCCTTATAAGGAGAACAGGACACACAGAGAGGAGGCTGTGTGAAGACACAGGGAGAAGACGGCCATCTACAAGCCGAGGAGAGAGGCCTGAGAAGAAGGCAACCCTGCTGACACGTTGATCTGGACTTCCAGCATCCAGGATTGTGAGAAAATACATTTTCTCTTGGTTAAGCCTCCCAGTCTGGGGTACTTTGTTATGACAGCCATAACAAACCCATACATGGTTCAAAATAATGAATCGCTTAAAAGAAGTACAGCTTTTTTAGTAATATACTAGTAGCTAGCATAATCCTTGGGGAGCCGAAAAGGCAATTACGCAAAATATGTCTCAATAACCAGCAAATTCATGTTTATAAGAGCTCCTTGAGAAAAATCCCTAAAGGGGCCTGAAGTTCTTGGCTCTGTCCTGTAATGACTTTTCCTTCGCACTGGAGAGGATGGAAATAACAGAGTAAGGCCATTGCTATGAGCAATGTATGACGAGGTCAGAGTGACATCTGCATACCCCCTGCTTAGAGCACCTTTGCTTAGAAATGTAGCTTGCTTGTTCTTCTTGATACGTGTCTCAATGGTTACATTAAGAGGACAGTTTTCTCTTCACATTCCAAATAAGGCAAAAATAAGCTGCAATTGGGTTTCACCTTAGGTCCCCAGTTTCAGCCTCTGAGAAAGTTAGAAGGGTCAGGCACCTCTATTTGGCTGTAACAATCACGTGATAGTCCTTACAAGGGCTCAGCAGTTGGCTTTGAGCAAAACCCATCTCCTGTCCATCCCCAAATCGCTGGGGGTTTAGGACCAGGCCATCCAATGGCCGATGTTGCCTCTGTGCAGGTTTCTGGATATTGGTTGAACATTGCACTTAATTGGAAATGAAGGGAATGTGAGTTCATTCCATCAAAAGAAACAAAGTTCAGTCTGGTTCAGATAAAG